CAATGCATTAATTACATGTATTATATTCTTGGTTTACAATTGCATCAATTATTCTCTCATTTTACGCTAGTGTTGGGTATCGGACTCAAAAATCACTATCGATAATCGGACCACCACAATCGATTGTCTGCCGATAGTATAATCGAGTTTCGCACTTATTATAGCTTTTTTTTCTTTTAATGTACCAATCCTTGTATGTATTTTTATACAGTAGAGACCGCATTTTGAGCATGAATAAAATTTTGTCTCCAAGATTAAAGTAAGATTTACTCTTTGAATTCAAAACAAACAACACAAATACCTAATACTACTTTGTGACAGTCAAGTTTTGTATAATACAACTTTATGGCAGTCAATATTAGGACTAGACAACAGGTCAAAATATTAATGAGTAGTATTGTAGAACTTGACTGCATGTAAAAAAGTTACACACTAGGCAATTCAGCAGTGGTAGAACATTAAAATAATCGATTTTTTAAAAAGGACTATCGATTGTTGCCGATTTTGGGGTGGTCCGATTAGTTATCGATTTTCAGAGACAATCGGGACAACACTATTTTACGCAGTAGTCTTTAATATGGAAAAATTGTGTCAACAATGTTCAAAATGGCTATGCGTTTTATTTATTTTAAAATAATGACAATTTTGATCATAGTTGTATTATTCTGTTATTTTTTCGTATGTATGATACATTATCATTCAGCATCATTATTTTACATTATTTGTAATACATAATATAGTTAATTGCATGTGCGATTTTTTCAACAATCAAGTTACAGAAGGAAATAACGGAAGTTTGCGTCATTACAGGAGTTTTTTTATCACCATTCATTCTATTACAATACAATATGATACCCACTTGTACAGAAATATTTATAGGCAGGAGATCCGCAGCATCAATAACATAACTGTACCACATATTGGCCTACTCCGTGAATGAGTAAAGATCTGCTCCGTTAAGGACAATACGCTTGTGACGTCGTTAACGTTAATTTTAAAGTTATACCGTGCGCCGCATTTCTTTACATGTGCATGCCAATAACAGCATAACTTTTTTCTTTGTTAATATTTCTTGTTGGTATTTTTTGTATCATTTAGAGGATAGATTCCGATTTATTTTCCGTGTATTGTTATGCAAATTCATTTAACAGGTTAAGAATCGTTTACAAAGTCCGGTTAATTTTTGATCATCCCTCGTACATACATGTATGACATTTTTCCAGAATTTTTTAATTTCTTCGTTGTTTTTCCTTGTCTCCAACACGAAAACCCTATTAGTGAAGATGTTTTTGTAACTGTTGTGCATTTTCTCATTTGAAATAAACAAACTACATCTAATTGTTACAATTCATTTAATTGCTGATCAAGTGTAAGGTCAATTCAATGCAGTCTAAATGTCAACAAGCGAAACGTATACATGTACACCATCTCAGTAGGGGCGGAGCGTTGCATTGTTTATTCGAGATTATTGGATAATACACGTCACGCGTATACTTAACTTCATTTGCATACACTAAAACGGTTTGCGAAATAGAGTTTTTCACATATTTATTTGTTGTGTTTTGATTGTTGACACTTGTGACATTACGAGGCGGCGTTCTCTAAAAACACAATTATTTGACAGGTAAAAGTGGTCGTTTAATGAAAAGATTTATCTCAATTACTGGACTAATAAGCGGTCGCTGGTCGCGTTGAGCAAAAGTCGCTTTATACATTAAAGATATATTGAGAACATGATCGGGGGAAATTAAAGTGGTCGTTTAAGACAAAAGTCGCTTAATACACGTGGTCGCATGGGCAAGTTAGACTGTATAATTTTAGAAATCATAACATGGGAGGTGATATTTACATAAATTCTGAATGTCATGCCTTAATACTTCACAAATAGTTAACAAAATACCTGTTTCAACAAAGCACACCGATAATTGTATTCATCTTCACTTCTTTGTTATGAAATACAAGTTTATGTTACAAAATTTCTCAATTTTCTTGTGCATGGCAGCCATTTTGTCATACTTCCGGTTTAGTTCTATTTATACTCTCAACTCGAGGTCAGATTGATACAGATGTTTTCTGAGGCAAAGTTGTTGAATGGACTGATTGATATTCATTATTTAATGATTTGAATTGTATGTTTGTTCTGAGAATGAAATATTATGACATACATTTATTTATTTTATATTGTAGGCCCTAACCTTGAACCACCTAATTTGCATACCAAAATATTTTGGTAGTCATTTGCATATGCAACGTTCGTATCCCAAAACATCACTTTGCCTCTGTCCTTACTGTAGAATAGATGTACAAAATTTTATCTCATCGAAATCTTTCATAAATTTCAACAAGAGGGCTATGATGGCCCTAGATCGCTCACCTGACCCATCAAACTCATCCAAACAATTACCTAAACAAGCATTCTGACCAAGTCTCATGACAGGTGAGTCAAAAATGTGACCACTACAGTGTTAACAAGGATTATCCATATTTGAGCAGTGTGACCTAGTTTTTCATCCAAGATGACCCATGTTGGAACTTTACTTAGAAATCATCAAAACAAACTTTCAGACCAATTTACAGGATATATGGAACACAACAGTAGCCACTATAGTGTTAACAAGATTTTTCTATTTTTAGCTCCTGTGACCTAGTTTTTCATCCGAGATGACCCATGTTCGATTTAATCCCAGCAATGACCTAGACAAGTTTCCTGACCAAGTTTGATGACAATTGAGTCAAAATTGTGACCACTGGAGTGTTAACAAGGTTTTTCTATTTTTAGCTCCTGTGACTTAGTTTTTCATCCGAGATGACCCATGTTCGAACTCATCTGAGCAAGTATCTAGACAAGCATCCTGATCAAATTTGATGACACTTGTGTCAAAAATGTGACCGCTAGAGTGTTAACAAGATTTTACTATTTTTAGCTCATGTGACCTAGTTTTTCATCCGAGATGACCCATGTTCGAACTCATCTGAGCAAGTATCTAGACAAGCATCCTGATCAAGTTTGATGACACTTGTGTCAAAAATGTGACCGCTAGAGTGTTAACAAGATTTTTCTATTTTTAGCTCCTGTGACCTAGTTTTTCATCTGAGATGACCCATGTTCGAACTCATTCGAGCTATCACCTAGATAAGCATCCTGACCAAGTTTGATGATGATTGTGGCAAAAATGTGACCGCTAGAGTGTAAATAAGGTTTTTCTATTTTTAGCTCCGGTGACCTAGTTTTTCATCCAGGATGACCAATGTTCGAACTCATCCAAGCTATCACCTAGACAAGCATCTTGACCAAGTTTGATGATGATTGATGAAAAAATTTGACCGCTAGAATGTTAACAAGGTTTTTCTATTTTTAGCTCCAGTGACCTACTTTTTCATCCGAGATGACCCATGTTCGAACTCATCCGAGCTATCACCTAGACAAGCATCCTGACCAAGTTTGATGATGATTGAGACAAAAATGTGACCGCTAGAGTGTTAACAAGGTTTTTCTATTTTTTAGCTCTTGTGACCTAGTTTTTCATCCAAGATGAGCCATGTTCAAACTCATCCGAGCTATCAACTAGATAAGCATCCTGACCAAGTTTGATGATGATTGAGTAAAAAATGTGACCGCTGGAGTGTTAACAAGGTTTTTCTATTTTTAGCTCCGGTGACCTAGTTTTTCATCCGAGATGACCCATGTTCGAACTCATCCGAGCTATCAAGTAGATAAGCATCCTGACCAAGTTTGATGATGATTGAGGCAAAAATGGGACCGCTAGAGTGTTAACAACTAAATGTTAACAGACGACGGACAATCATCGATCCTTAAAGCTCACCCTGAGCAGCATGCTCAGGTGAGCTAATGAAAGTTTCATTCATTTAAAAAAAATTCATCTTGAAAAGGTATCTTGAAATATATGATTTTTCCTGCAAACCGCAAGGATGTCAATATAATATCCGTACAGTAAATTAAACTTTTATCTTAATCAGCTAATTTTTGTGAAAAAAATACAACATTTTTTGTTCACTTTGTTTCTTTGTGAAATATCTTACACAATAAAATGTGCAAGTCATTGTCAAGAACCAAAATATTTTACATTGTATTTCTGAAATGACACAGTCTCCTTTCTGATGGTGTTACAAAATTAATGGAAGAATCCATTACTGAATGGGGAAATCAACTTCACTGTAGCTCTCAAATTTGTGCTATTCCGATTGGCTCTGATTTGAATTAACATTCACATTCAACAACCTTTTCATCTTTCTAATGCTTTAACAGACAAATCATCATAACAATGTCTGTTGAGACAAAAAATACAAGATACACTATCTCAATTTATCCTTACAAAGAAAGTCTACCTTGCAATAAAAAAAACCCTTTAACCCCCAAAACAGAGACCAATTTGCAACTCTAGACCATAATTTGAATATACTTTGTAGAAACCAACAAGCTTATGCCTTGTGTGAAATATCTAAGCTCTAGCCCTTTCCATTTTGAAGTATAAGAACTTTTAAGTTTTTTCTATTAGTTGCCATAGCAACCAGAGTTAAATGGCATTCTTTGAACAATCTTGATAAAGTTTCATACAAAGAGTATTCCTGCCAAGTTTCATTAATATTGGCCAAGTGGTATTATAGAAGATGTACTTTGAATAAAATGTGGACGGACGCTGGGCCATCCTAAAAGCCCACTTATACTATGTGCAAGGTGAGCTCAAAATAGTCAAACTAAAAAAGTAGTAAAACAGCATAAGTTTGTTAAACTCAAATGCAACCATTACCTATTCAAATCATTCACTAAATAACAAGATTAAAATTTCCTAAATCCGAAAATTTGACCTTTAAATTGAAGTGAATTTAAGACTCTATGTCAAAAAAGCTTGCATCCACATACAGAAATATTTTGTGTCAGAGAATAAGGTCTCTAGATATCCAATAAAAGAAGATCAAAACGTACCCTCAACCACAAATCGCGGAGGCATAAAATCATATCAAAACAAAGAAGCATTTACCATGTGTTCTGTAATATTGATGAGGAGCTCTGACTCAAGAAACTGTTCTAGGATATACTTCGGGGCCATGTCAACTAAAGCCTGAAATATTAAGTCATAAATGAGCTTTTTATTTATACAGCTGTAAAACAGTGGAATCGTAAAGAACATGTCATGGTGCCCACACTCATACACACAGACAGACACACACAAAGGTGAATCGCTATATGTGGTCAGGTGAAACGCTATATGTGGTCAGGTGAAAGGATGAAATAAATAAAGAAATTAGAGTGAACAAGAGCTGTCACCCAAGTGACAAATGCCCGAAAAGGTTTCTTATACATGCATGTAGTATGAAAAGAAAAGAGAATGAAAGTATTTAATTGCTTAATATAGATCTTTGTATTATTGTACCCGTTATCTCTAATTGTGATAGCGTGAACCTTCAAAATATAAGTGTGACCTTGACCTTTGAAGAATGGAGGTGGTTCCTGGACGCAACAGAATGTTGTTATGAGATAGACATTTGTGCCAAATTATTTCAAAATCCCCCAATGCATGACTTTTGTGTAAGTAGGGACGGACAGACGGATATGAGCCTTAGCTGCGACACATTGTCGTGATGTGGTAGACATTTGTGCCAAGTTATTTTAAAATCCTTCCATGCATGACAAAGTTACAGTCCAGACATGAATGTGTATCTTCAAACTCTTCTCGAGAGAATGAGTACCTTCAAACTTTAAGTGTGACTTTCACCTTGAAGGTAGGGGCATGGGTTTTAGACGCAACATGTCGTCTTGATGTGGTAGACATTAATGCTTAGTTATATTAAAATCCTTTGATACATGACAAAGTTACAGTGCGGACACGAATGTGTGTACCTATAAACTCTAATTGTGATAAAGTGAAATTCCAAATGGTAGTGTTGCCTTGACCTTTGAGGTAGGGTCAGATTATTGGACGCGACACATCGTCTTTATGTGATACACATTTTTGGCCAAGTTATTCTAAAATCCTTCCATGCATGACAAAGTTACAGTCCAGACACAAATGTGTGTACCTATAAACTCTTATTGTGAAACTTCAAAATGTTAATGTGACCTTGACCTTGAAGGTAGGGACGTAATTCTTGGATGCGACACATTGTCTTGATGTGGTAGACATTTATGCCTAGTTATATTGAAATCCTCGATGCATGACAAAGTTACAGTACTGACACGAATGTGTGTACCTATTTACTCTTAATTGCAATAATGTGAACTTTCAAAATGATAGTGTGACCTTGACCTTTGAGGTAGGGACGAGATTATTGGACGCGACACATCATTCTTATGTGGTACACACATTTATGCCAAGTAATTCTAAAATCCTTCCATGCATGACAAAGTTACTGTCCGGACAAAAATTTGTGTACCTATAAAAACTTATTGTTATAAAATTGAAACTTCAAAATGTTAGCGGACCTTGACCTTTGAGGTAAGAAGGGCGTGATTTTTGAACGCAACACATCATCTCTTATGTGGTAGACATTTATGCCAAGTTATTCTTAAATCCTTTGATGCATGACAAAGTTACAGCCCGGACACAATTGTGTGTACCTATTAATTCTAATTGTGATAATGTGAAACTTCAAAACGTTAATGTCACCTTGACCTTTGAGGTAGAGACTTAATTCTTGGAAGTCGACACATCGTCTTGACGTGGTAGACATTTATGCCTGGTTATTTTAAAATCATTCGATGCATTACAAAAATTTCAGTCCGGACACCATTGTGTGTACCTATTAATTCTAATTGTGATAATGTGAAACTTCAAAATGATAGTGTGACCTTGACCTTTGAGGAAGAGATGTGGTTCTTGGAAATGACACATCGTCTTGATGTGGTAGACAATTGTGCCAAATTATTTTAAAATCCCTTGATGTATGACAAAGTAACAGTCCGGACATAAATGAAGTGGGGACCCACAGACAGACGGACGTTTGTACGAATGGTCATTTATTGGGTACTTCTTTTGTTTAAAAGTACCCAATAAGAGAACACAAGAGCGATCAGTGATCACATGTGTCGCCTCATAATGGCCAATTTCATGTTGGGACAAGTTTTGTGAAAGACGGACAGACAGACGGACAGTGCACAACTAGACTTGGTACTGATCATTCCTGTAAAGTTTGGATAAAATTAAACCAGTAGTTTATGAGGAGTAAGTCCGGACAAGCTTTTGTGTATCTGGCAACACACAGAAAAAAACACCTTTTTATCAAAGGGCCATTACTCAGCCAAAAATCATTCAACAGGAAAACCCGTGCAACATGCGCAAGGACTTGAGCTACAGATCAATCCTGTAAAGTTTCATTGAAATTGCATTAGTGGTATAAGAGAAGTAGTCCGGACAAACTTTAAAAATAAAAATTATTAAAGGGCCATTACTCTAACAAAAATCATTGAACCGGAAAATGCTGATAATATGCACAACTAGACTTGGTACTGATCATTCCTGTAAAGTTTGGATGAAATTGCACCAGTAGTTTATGAGGAGTAGTCCGGACAAGTTTTGTGACGGATGGACAGACGACGGAGAAGTGATCCCTATATGTCGCCACTACTCCGTAGAGGCGACACAAAAAGTACCCAACAATACTGACAGAATGAATAGAATTACCCAACACGTGTCCTCTCGTGTGTTCAAGGTACCTAACAAGTGTCCTCTTGTTTGCCCCGACAGATGAACGGATGGACAGACAGACAGACTGTGCGATTTTAATATGCCTCCCTTCAGGGCATAAGAAAGCGTAAAAACTTGAATCAGAAATCTTGAAAAGGTCGCTCAAGTTTGGTACATTTTGAGTAATCACAAATAGTGTTATATTTGCCATATTTTAAGCCTATTTGTTACCTTAGCAACCAAATTTTTCAACATGGGAAAAAAAGAAAAAGACATGCGTAATCTCCAGACTGCCATCTACCCATATATCAATTTTCAAAAAAAGTTTGTGCTATTACTGGATCCAGTTTATGTGTTAAATTTGCCATATTTTCAGTCTATTTGTTGCCACAGTAACGGCTTTCAACATAGGAAGAAAAGAAAAAGACAAGCATAATCTCAAGACTGCCATCTATGTATATATCAAGTTTCATAAAAATATTTTCAGTAATTTTTGCATTATTATGGAATCCAGTTTTGTGGACGGACTTACAGATGACTGACAGACAGACAGACAGACAGATGGAGGGGTAAACCTAAAGTCCACTACTTTTTTGATCGTTCGTAATGCACAAATGACTTTTTAATTTAATAACACGAAAAAAAACAAATGGGCCAGTTGTTTTAGGTCTCACTCAAGGGAACTTCTGGACTATTCCAGAAAACTTTTACCCATACACTTAAATAGAAGATTAAGAGTCCTTATTACTGTAGTTAAATTATTAATTATGAACTGACCTGCTTTGCGGAAGGTGTCATCCCAACTTGTACAACAATGATGGCTCGTGTTATATTTTTTCTTGCTGCATTCTTTCACAATATGTTTTTATAGTTTTTATGCCAACCTTTTCATCCTCAGGAAAGAAAACAAACATCTGGTCTTAAATGAGAAAATCATTATCAAGTTCAAAATAAACTTATTTTAAACAATATACCCATATCATATATAATTTGAAAATGAGGGCTTTTAGTGTTGCTTTATTTTCCACAGGTTTCCAAATTTGCACAACATAAGTAAATATTAAACACTGATGCAATTATTTACAAAAAGTTGTCATGCTAATTATTGAATACTGGACACAGTACAGGAAAACAAAAATTATGAGAAAAAGAAGAACATGTTTAATAAATGCAAATGCGCCCCCACCATTCTTGTCAGTAAAAATTGTTCAAACAAGATGGCCATGATGGCCCTCATATCGCTCGTCTGAATTAAATATTGCAAAACTATACATGAAAGGTGATACATAATCTAAGTCTTAAACTTATATCACAAAGATCATATTTGTATCTAAAATAGTGCATGTTGTAAAACATACTGGTTGCTGCTATTGCTAAGGAAAACAATAGTCACTAAAGAAGTCATTGGTTGCTATACCAAAATCAGAATGGAAGTCAGTGAATGCTTTAAAATTAAAATGGTAGATTTACTCATTGTCATGGAAAGCTAATGTTAGCTATGGAAATCAAACAGTTGCTATGGTAGCCATTGCTTGCTACAGAAAGTCAATGGTTCTTATGGAAAAGTAAATTGTTGCTATAGAATGTCAATGGTTGCTAATTAGAGTCACTTACTGCTTTTTAAGTCATTGTTTGTTATGAAAGTCTTTTGTAGCGTAGAATGTTGCTAGTTGCTATTGAAGTTTATGTTTGCTTATAATGGAAAACCAGTGGTTGCTATGGAAGTTAATGGTTGCTATGGGAAGTCATATGCTTGCAATAGAGATCACTGGTTGCTATGGAAAGTTCATGGTTGCCTTTGGAAAGTCAATGGATACTTTGGAATGTGAATGGGTGCTAAAGAAGTCTATGGTTGCCATGAAAGTCAATAGTTGCTATGTGAGTCTCTGGTTTTCTATGGGAAGTCAATGGTTGCTATGGAAATCTATGGTTACTATGAAAAGTCAGTGGTTGCTGTGGAAGTCAATGGAAAGTCAGTTTTTTTAGATTCATTCCAGGAACATTTTGGCTCAGGTTTAACAATATTGGCCTATAAGTATCGGAGAAGTTGATAAAAAAAAAGATACCATCAACAACACATGATGGACACAGACTGATTTCAAATGCTCACCCTTGAGCACTTTGTGCTCTAAAAACAAGAAAATTTCATTTATTTGACTTTCATGGTCAAGGTCAATTACAGGTCAACATCACATCTTAATTATTCAATATATTTATTTGGTGTAAAGTCTTGTTTTGTCCAAGTATGCATCAAATTCGTACATAAATAACAAAATCATGACAATTTAACCAAAATTCAATAATTGTACCTTGATGGTCAAGGTCATATTAAGCTGAAGGTCAAAGTCAGTTCAACCTTGGTCTTGTTCAAAAGGTATGAAGATAATCTGTTTATTAATTAACAAGTTACAGTCAATTATAGCAAAAAGCATTGAAAATACAATAATTTCACTCTCTAAGTCAAGGTCATAAATGAGCCAAGGTCAATTTGAGTTTGATAAACATAGAGATAATATCCTAAAGAATGTTGTGACTTAATTTGAAGTAAATCCATTAATAACAAAGTAATAGCCAGTTACAAGGGAAACAAGTAGAGATTTTGATGCTAAAGCATCAAGTCGCCGGATAGAAAAATGATTGTATTATCATAAATTTAAGAAAATATAAGTTTAATGGTTCAAGTATAAAAATAAGAGGAACAATCAGTTGAGTAATGTTTGCCACTGAGGCTTGTAAGGCAAGACTTAGTGCTATGCTGGTAATTCTTCTTGTAAATGTACTTTAAACATATACTGTTGTACCATACATTGAAATCCGTATAGGTTACTAGTTCAGATTCAGATAATTACCGACAAATATTTATTTACCGATCATCGAATATTTGCAAAGTGACTATGAAAATATATATATGTTTAATTATTTCATGAAACAATACAATTTTACTGTAAAAGTGTTGTACATCATTATTATGTGCTATAGAAAAAATATATAATTTAGTTGAAATCAATACATGTATTCCAATCGTTACATACGATATATAAAATTAACGTTTAATTGCCTTAGTTGAAATCAATACATGTATTCCCATCGTTACATACAATATATAAAATTAACGTTTAATTGCCTTAGTTGAAATCAATACATGTATTCCCATCGTTACATACAATATATAAAATTAACGTTTAATTGCCTTTCAGTGCAATAAACTATCAACACAAAGATAGTTTATTATTTTTTTCTATGTAGTTATTACGATTGTCATACCGTTTTGGAAACCTGCGTGACGGAAACTGACCGGAATATACCGAAATCAACGATTATCATTATATATTTCAATAATGTGCCTCTTAAGCATAAAATTATTTTGGATGTTCAACCTAAACTAAAACTATTGAACTTTCTTGTCCAAAGTTTGACAGAAAGGACCACAAGAAGAAAGGAAAAGGTTTTGAAAATTTATTTTTAATGTGTAAAATATGAGTTAACAGGTTTTTCTATTGATTTAAAGTATGAAACTGATTAATGAAAAATAACTTATGTAATTATCTGTACAAAATTACAATGATTTGCATCTTATCGGCTACCACACCTTTTGCCAACCATTAACAAGTTACCTGTATGTCTTATCAGCAATCTGTAACTATTAATAGATTTTATAACGATATACAACAAATATAAACATGTAGTCACGTGATTCTTACGAAAGACAAGGGAGAATTTGTTTATAATTAGATAAAATAATGTAATATAATAGGTCTCATAAAATATAAACAACCAAATAATTTTAAAGTGTCATTTCAAATATCATTCATGATTTATATATTATAAAATAGCAATGCTTGACACATAGAAAAAAGTAAAAGTAACCCTAATATTCAATGGCTGATCCTTGGGGATATGTTATTGATTCATTTTATGTTATTGTAATGTTGCTTTTTAAGATGTCAATATGTGCAGATTTCATTTCACTGAGCAAAGTTATCATATGTTTGAATTTTTGAGATTTCTGAAAAATAATTGTTGTCTTTAATTGTTCAATGATTTATATGCTTTTATTTTCAGATTTTAAGGGCTTCTCCTACCATAGGTTTAATATTAAACTGTTACAAATATAGTTGCCGGTTTCTACCGGCGACTTCTCCTACCATAGGTATAATATGAAACTGTTACAAATATAGTTGCCGGTTTCTACCGGCGACTTCTCCTAAAATAGGTATAATATGAAACTGTTACAAATATAGTTGCCGGTTTCTACCGGCGACTTCTCCTACCATAGGTTTAATATGAAACTGTTACAAATATAGTCGCCGGTTTCTACCAGCGACTAACAAGAACGTGTTTGTTAAACATTAATGCCCCCGGCTCAGATTCTTGTCAGTAACAATATTTCAAAAAATATTTACCCAGTCACTCAGTTAAGGTCAGAGAATAGTCAAAATAATAATGTAAACACAGTTATATAACTTGAAAGAGTCATGGCGTTTTGTAATTGTGAAAAATTTAAGTTGGCAAGTCATTGCTATGGCTTGTGATGAAGTTGAAAAAAACCCTAAATCAATCCTAGGATGTAAATTATCATCCTTTCAAATATGAACAAGAGAGCATCGCTAGGCGGAGCATTATATGCCCAAAAGTGTAGCACCGCTAGGCGGAGCATTATATGCCCAAAAGTGTTTTTTTTTTTTTTATAATGATGAAGCATTTGTAAGACATTGGAATTAAATAAAGTATTACCTCCTTCAAAAAGCAATTCTCCTTTGTAGCTGAAGAACCTTCATATATATACAGTTGCCGTTTCCAAAGCACCACCATCAAGTTGTTATCTTGTAAGTTAAAATGCTACGACGGACGGACAAAAGACGCCAGGGGTATAACATATCTCAATATAAGTGATCATCCTATGAAGGTTGACAAGTTGTTAAACTGCTAACAATATTAAGGTCATTTGATATTGACCTGATCTTGTGACCCCAATATAGATATGGATCTTTTATTTAATATAGGCAATCATCCTATGAAGTTTGAACACTGTAAGCCAAATGGAACTTGTGTTATGCTCCAGAAAGCACAATTTTCAGTGTGAAGATCATTGTGACCCTGACCTTTGACCTTATGACCCTAAAATCAATAGGGGTTATGTATTGGACATGGCTGTTCATCCTATAAAATTTTACACCTGCAGGTTGATTAATACTAAAGTTATTGAGCAGAAACTGTTTCAGTTTTAAGGTAATAGTGACCTTAACCTTTGACCTTGTGACTCTAAAATCAATAGGGGTCTCCTACCTAATATTAACAATCATCCTATGAAGTTTAAACACTGTGGGCCAAATGGAACTTAAGTCATGCTCCAGAAAGTACAATGTTCAGTGTAAAGATTATTGTGACCCTGACCTTTGACCTTATGACCCTAAAATCAATAGGGGTTATGTATTGGACATGACTGTTTATCCTTTAAAATTTTACAGCTGCAGGTTGATTAGTACTTAAGTTATTGAGAAGAAGCTGTTTCAGTTTTAAGGTAATAGTGACCTTGACCTTTGACCTTGTGACCTCAAAATCAATAGGGATCTTCTACCCAATATTGACAATCATCCTTTGAAGTTTGAACACTGTGGGCCAAATGGAAATTACGTCATGCTCCAGAAACCACAATTTTCAGCTTAAAGATCAATGTGACCCTGACCTTTGACCTTATGACCCTAAAATCATTTTTACTAAGTCAAGGGCAATAACTCTAAAAATACTACATATATCCACATTTCTGTAAAGTTTCATGACTCTAGGTCAAATACTTTTGAGCTATTTGCGCACAAGTTGAAATTTGCAAATTTTTAAAAAAGGGCAATCACTCTAACGAGAGGGCCATGATGGCCCTGGGTCGCTCACCAGAAACAACTGCTTTTCAGTGTTGGAAATTATCCATTGT